AAAAAATGGTATTAGTATTGCATTTATGCTTTAATGAAAATAGTGTTCTCATACCTCAGGATTGGTTTAATAAATGGGTTTCATACATTGGACGATGTCGGCCCGAACAATTAAACTGCCAAAGTCCTTCCATAGATGACTGTGGCCCTGGTCCTGTGAATTTTTCTCGGATTATGGGTTCGTCTATTTTTTGTGCTTAATGGAAACGTAGAAAACGGCAAACTCAAAAGTAATCTTCTTCTCGATGTTGACGTGAAGGCCATAACAGAAGAGCTATTTAATAATCTCTCAAGATGGTATGGTATCGACGGTCTATCTAGTGACATTCCTTGGCGCGATATTTACAAGACGGATAAAAATGAATATACTTTTGATCTTTACCCTCCTTCAATTAAACTTGTTTCTCGTGAAAATTATGCCGATTTCGTCCTCAATTGTCATTCCCACGTAACTATAGGTGGGGTTCTTTAAATTCTCATTTTTCTTCTAAAGGTTTTGTCAAATCCTGCATTAGGAAGAAAAATAATCTCAAAAATGAGACAGAAATATATCTTTGGGATGGACAAGAAAAGGACGAATTAACTGTTAATGAAACTGCAACGTTAAAAGAATGTGGTCTCATGGGTGATAAGGTAGTTTTCTTGTATAACTTCTTGCATTATTGAAGCTCCCATTAAATGCTTTCTTTTGGTTTGTTTTAGCGAATTGAATATTCTGTGGGATCCAGAACGTACGTCATAATTAAATGCAACACTTTTAAAACCGAATTAACACTAACATTTTTTTGGCTTCCCTTTTTCAGTTTGTCCAACGGAGACAGTAGTGCGTATTCCCATATTATTAGATACCCTTCCTCATCCCTTCCTCGTGGAGTTTGTGGCCTAAGTAATCTGGGAAATACCTGTTTTATGAACAGTGCTATACAGTGTATATCGAATATTGCGCCTTTACGAAAGTTTGTTCTTTCGGATGAATTTCGTGGTAGTATTAACGCAACAAATAGACTTGGTTCCCACGGAGAAATTGCTATTGCTTTTGCAGAACTCATTAAAGAGATGTGGAGTGATAAAAAACGGGGTCTGAGCTGTGTTCCTCGAGATTTGAAAGTAATTTTTTGCTAGTCATGACTTATTAATTTTAGTCTAAAATTGGTCGCTATGCTCCTCAATTTCTTGGCTACAATCAACATGATGCGCATGAATTGATGAATTTCCTCTTGGATTTTCTCCATGAAGATTTAAATAGAATAAAAGAAAAGCCTTATATTGAAGATAAGGATGCTGATGGCCGACCTGATGAGGTAGGTGGTCCGAGTTCTTGTTAATTTGCTATTTTTTCTTCTGAAGGAAGTTGCAAATGAGGCCTGGTCCAACTTCAAGCGACGCAATGATTCAATAATTGTTGATCTTTTCTATGGTTTGCTCAAATCCACTGTAGAATGTCCCAAATGCGGCCATGTTTCCGTGATCTTTGATCCCTTTAGCTCTCTCTCTCTTCCTTTGGGAGTAAAACGTCTTTCGGTTTATGTGGGACCTTTCGATTTATATAGCTTACCTGTAACTCCCTTGTGCAGAGCAAGGGATATTGTCCAATCCCTGGAATATCACAAACCCATCCCAGATCACTCCAAGGTGAGTTTTCATCCATATTTCGAAATACTGTGCACTTCTCACTGTATATGATGTTGCATAAGGGTAGTCTTTATGATGCCTCTCAAGCTAGTTTTTCCTCTGTCTTTAGTACGTAGTGACGAGGAAGGTTGGCAACGAGTTTGATGTCATCCCTGCGGAATCCAATGAGAATCTCTATGATGAAAAAATCTACGTTTTTAGAGTTACTGGAGTGTATCACTTAAAGGTCCTTTTACTTGGCAAATAGTAAGAATTATTTATTTAAAATTCTCCATCATTTTTGGATTTTAATTTTTTTCTCTCTTGACAGTACCCTAGAGTCTGTTCCTTTGTTAGTATCTTTGGAAATGACCACAAATGGGATTTCGAAACAGGCCCTTTGTAATGCAGTGAAGATAGAGCTATCTAAATATAACGAGTTATATGGCGAGCATTTCGAGAAGATCTGTCAGGACGATGATCTCAGATTTTCATTTGAAGATGAAATATTTCCAATGGAACGTGAGTTAAACTGGGTCTCAATTATCCATTTTGTTAGTTATCGTCATCTAAGTATGTTGTATTTTATTGTTTTACAGCAGAGAAGATCATAGAGATTGAACTTGTTGGCGATATGCAGGTTAAACATGACACTGTTGTTCGACTGCCTGTTAAACTGCAAAATTGCATTGACCTCTTTCTCACATCGGAACAATTGGGAATTCACAATTTATGGTACTGCAAGTATTGCGAAGATCATCAACGAGCTTTCAAGAAATTTGACCTCTGGAAACTTCCCCAAGTACTTATTTTTCAGCTCAATCGCTATAAGAAAACCTACTATGTTTCGAAGAACGATGTATTTGTGGAGTGTCCTCTAGAGTACGTTTACTTGTGGCATACCTGGTTTCGTTCTGGTTACTGGAAGTAATTAATTCTCTCCTTTGTTCTTTGTTGCTATAGTGACTTTAGACTTCCTTATCTCAAGGACAGTCCGACCTATGAACTTACAGCTGTTATTAATCATATGGGAGGTTTAAGTGGAGGTCATTACACAGCCTTTGCCAAAAATGGAAACTCCTGGTATAATTTTAATGACAGTTTCGTCGACAGACTCAAGACATCACCCGTGGTAAGTACTTATAGATTAACATTGCAGTCATAAATCTGAACTTCAACTTTTGCGCATTTAGTCACAGAGCGCCTACCTTCTGGTATATTCGAAGGAAGTTTCGTCGAATGGGTATTGATGATGAAGGCTTTCCCATTAATTATAGGACTCGCTCATCATCTCACTTATTATTCACCTTTCGGTGTCACTACATTTTTATACGTTGATCTCTATTATTTTTCTACCTACTTTTTTTGTCCTGCTCTTCGTGTCTTTTTTCCTTCAACATTTGGGCTTTGTGTGTGCTTGTGCGCTAGCCTAGACCGAACCCTTGACTCTATGCGATTGTTTCTTTTCCTTGTAAGGTTTGTGCGAAACGTTCAATTAATTCGTGAATGATCATATTGGTGGTCTTCCTTTCCATTGCTTTTTGGATTCAAGCTTCAAAACTTGTGGATTTGATAAGGTCTGCTTCTTTATTTAAGTAGGAATGTTATCATGGTTTGTAGCTTGCGGAGTGAATTGAATGTGATCAATGTCTCTTAGTTTTATTATTGACATTCTGGTTCTATCTGTTAATACAGTTCAAGATATAAGTGTGAATAATTTTATTGACACAGGTTAACTATCGCACTGACCCATCATATAATCATGGTCCACTCAGGTGTGGGTTTGGACAGCATAAAAAGAATTAAAAGGTCTGGGAATTAGTGTTAAGTTTAAAATAGAATTTTGAGTATTTTACTCTGACAAATTGCTATCCACCTTATTTCTTCTTTGCTATAACTACGAAAAAAATTATATTTCCTTCTTCCTAACAGATACTGACTTACAGATCATTGCTCGTTCAATGTCGTGACCAGCCAACTACGCTGGTTAATACAAGTCAATATGTAGAGTTGAGGAAGGTCGAGTTTCACACAAGAACAATTCTAGTGTGTCTTCCATTCCTTCTTCCTTAAATGAGGTTTGGAATTTGCAATCGATGTATTGTAGCTTACGTTTTGCTTCGAGCAGTACATGAGTTTACGTTACGTTTTTTGTCTTACAATTGAGATGGGTTAGAGATTATGATGATTGGCAGATTGCGGGTGATCTAAGCAAAGCAACCAATTAGTTTTTTTCATTAAGCCAAGCCCTGTAAAATGTCGGTTGAAATTTAATTAAGGTATTATAGTAAGTAATTCTCATCTATTGATACCCATTTAATGCGTTAAATTAGCCATATTGGGGGGTGGATAAAACTACCTTTATTCGTAAAGAATATACGTGCTTGAGTATTGAGGAGTGATGAGGGCACAGTAGTAGCAGATGCTGTTTTCTGTGGTAATGAAGTTTCGTTTCTATAGTTGCATCGCTGTTAGCCCCATTATTAAAGCAGGCAAAGTCTAGTGGAAGTGACCATTTCAAGTGCTGTGAGGCGACCTTCTTATTGATCCGCTTTCACTAGAGAAAATTAGTTCCTTACTGACTTCCGATGTCACTAGCTTAGCCTACTTCCATGTTCTTAGTGGGAAAAGTCTTGAGTACTGCATTATAAACAGTTCTCGGATGCCACGAGGCTAAGTCACCAAATTAACAACTGAATTCGTCTAGAGATTTCAATAAGAATTGATTGAGGAGTTAATTCAGTCACTTCATGAAAAATATGGAAGTGAATTGTCTCTGTGTGCACAAAAAATTTGCTGATAAATTTTGGTTTGTCTGGAATTATTAAGTGAAATTTAATTCGAATCGTGAAAGTCCGAAAACTTGAAATCCCAACAGACAATGTCATCCACGTTGGGGTCTCCCCAACTTAATGGTAAAATGCTAATACTTCATATTTCTCCTCATATTACTCATACTCAGAAGTCTTTATTTTTTAATAATAAGGCGATTTTTTCTTCAAAGTTAAGTACAGTAGATGAGAACAAGTGAACTTGTGAGGTCGAAGTTCAAAGGGAGTTTGATATTCAATCTTATAGTGTTTGATGACGTGATAAGCTGCTTTGAAGGCAGTGCAATTTGGGTTTGTGGCTAATTCCCCCCTGTTGTCAAGTGAATCAAGTTTGCTTAGTTGAAGAGCTAGAACTGCAAAATGTAGTATGCTGTGTTTTAACTAAATCTCATTATCCCTGGGGTTTTGTGAGCGTTTTGGTAAGTCCTTTGGAAAAGCTGCTTTTATAATGTGGGTTTCTTTCATTCTGTTTTCTCCACCCTTTTATATGATAGGAAGGGAATTTTTGTGCCCTCCTTAGAATTGAAATAATATCGAATTTAGATAAGAAAGGGAGTAGCTTTTAACGAACATATCTGATCATAATCTAGTCACCAAATATGTTGGGTTAAATCCATTCTTATTGGAAAATCATTCTAGAGACAGAAGATGCCATGGCAGTATTTCTTGAACAAAAGAGCATCAAATCAGTGTAGTACCTTTTGGTAATGTGGTAGAAACGAGTGCTCTATTTCATGTTATGCTTATTTAAAGAAACCCGAGAGATCACCTCCACACAACTACTTGTTAGAACCGTCAACAATTCTAAGTTTCTCATAATCACGATAGTATTAGTATTATTTCACCAGATTATCTCTACTTTCTGCTTATTTCTCTGAAAATAACTTCAATTTTGGAAAATCCTCTCGTAGACATATTCTTAAATAGTTAAACTATGAAAATATGAAAAAATAGAATCGATTTTTTTATTTCTAGACCAGAGTACCCCCTTAAATAGCAATTCCTTTGATCTAATCTTTCAGTGTATTGAGCAAGTGTGGTACCCAACTCTTAATCAATAAGGTCACAGCCTCTAGTGTAAATATATAGTACTATGTATTTTAATGTTTCCACCTTTGAGCAACTAATACTGATGAAGTTAATTAGCAAACAACAGAAAATTAGTTGTCAATGCTTATGTTAATTAACCAATCACAAACCCTGCCAGACCAAGCCCCAAATCGACTCGTATCGTTGTTGGCTTATATGGCCCACATTTGATAATCTTTTTATGCAAATGCCTCATCTTCGTCCACGTATAAGACTGGCAATGAAACGCTTGTTACACTGGTTGGGCTAGTCGATTAATTGATTTATAAAGTTCAGCTGATTTTCGATCCAGCAATTAAGCTCAAATTATAAACAAATTTCAAGAAATTTTTACATTTGTCTCTTAAACAAGATGGCAGAAAATGTAGATAGTCATTCAGAAACTCAGTCCACCGTCCTTCCAAAGTCGAATTTTAATTTAGAGGAAAAATTATGTGAAGCTGCCAAAAAAAATGATCTGAATAAAGCGCGTCGTATTCTCGCGGAACGACTAGATCCCAACTTTCTTAACTGCTTTGGCCTCTCCCCCCTACACATAGCTTGCCAATATGGGAACTATGAGGTCGCTAAACTCTTAATAAGCAACAAAGCGGAAGTTGATCTGGCCAATGCCATCGGTGTCACTCCATTGCATCTGGCTGCCAAGAGCAATCATCTGAAGTGTGTTCAGTTATTGTTACTTTGTGGAGCAAATCCATTTAAGCAAACGTGGTCCCAATGTAGAGCCAAGGAGTTTTCGCCCAAAGGAGGTCGTCTACATCATGTTCTAGAACAATCGGAACAAGGAATTTTGCCTAATTCTGCCAGTGTCTTTGGATTAAATGTTGAACCCATTGTACCAAAGTTCTCAATTCCTAAGATAACGCAGGGATTGGAGAAGAAGAAGGGCAAAGCAACCAAAGATTTACCATTAAAAAGTAGCAAAAGGAAGTAGAATGCACTTGAACATTGTTATAGTGACAGTTTTTCCGGATTTTTTAAATTGAAAAATCCAAATATTTTATAACCAAGCTTTGCTTCGTGTTATCGGTGTTTTCAGAAAATTTATAATATCGCGGCAATTTTTATAGAGTTTTATTACTCTATTCAGTGATTTTGATGAGTTCTATCTCTGGAGTTAAAAAGAAAAAAATGACAGGTGTTTTGGAATTTTGTGATCAAGGTATGGGCACACTCAATTAATTATTGAACTGAATAATTGAGTTATTAAAATTTATAGCATGTGATACTTTGGAATTGGTGAGCCATTAAGGGTGTATTCTATCCTAGAGGCATGAATTTTAGGTAAACTTTGAAGTGCTGTAAAAAAAGCAAGCAATATTTTTATTGTCAATTTTTATACATTATTTATTCACATTAGAAGCATATTCCGTTAGTTATCAGCTGATGGAGTGAGGCGTCTCAAAAATTTGGTGCTTGACCATACCCACGATTTTAACTCTCCTAGCAATCTGAAACTACGGAAAAGTTACAGAAATATTTTGTACAAAAATGGCGACTGTCTAAAGAAAAAAACCATTGTTGTACCAATTTTTGAACATTCTTCGTTTTTTTAAAAATAGCAAAAAATGAAAATTTGGGGATGGCCGTAGTTCCGGACGTAGACAAGTCGCTAAAGAAGACTTTCTTAAAATTTCAAGTAAATCGGTTTGGTAGAACCTCAGAAATCGTGGGTATCTGATTCAAAAAGACATTTCTGAGAAAAACGCGTTTAAAGTTTAATGTAGATTTTTTTGTAGTCTAAGTCATAAAATTATATTTTTGACTTACGCTTATTCAATCTGCCATTCCTGCTGCATGCATCCGGACCTTCCTCGACTTCGAAAAAACTATTTTTGGCGTTTCTGTTTTCTATTCGAGCAGTTCTGGCCTCCTTTGATGTGCTGGATGCTCGTATCTCGGAGCGGTCAATCCGGGCGTTGTCTCGTCTGATAGCGAATGCATGCGCTTCTGGACCAATTTTCACTCCCATTATCGTCATCATCTTCAATATTGGTATGAAGCCTTCATTAAAAATCACACAGCAATAAACGTTGCAATTTCAATGATCTGAGACCCGGAATGGATATGCTTTGGAGCGAAAGTCCATATCAGCGAGTTTAGAGACTCATTATTATTTTGGGTTTCTGTACCCAAAGATCGAATCAATAAGTCTTTTGATGATAAACTTCGAAGGATTTGTCAACGAATGGACATGATAGAATGTAGCGTAGACAGTTGCAACTGCATTGTAATGCATTTTTGAACCCGAGTCCGCGTTGAGCCGTTCTTGAAAATATAATCTCTTTGTTGCATGTAGTACACGAAACAAACGAAGAAATTGCTGAAATGACCGTGAAAAACTCCAAAACACAGTAGCCGTAACTATTATCTATAATTACTTCTTCACCATTTGATTTCCTCAATTTTACTGCTGATGCACTCGTGAATTCCAAAGAATTTTTATAAGTAATTTGGACTTAAGTATAATTAAGTATTTATGGTTATGTACATATGCTAATGAATGTACAAAACGGGAATGGTTAGTCATCCAAATTACGCTACTATTCCAAGTGTTCATTTAAAAGGCGAGTTAGTTTAGGGCTTTATTATCAAAACCGTTGAAGTCGTCTTCTTGCAGTCTTTATTTTCTTTGTATTTACCAATCGAAATAGTCTAAAATGAAGGAAACTGCATAATAATTGGTGATAAGGAAACAATTAAATTGCTATGCATATAGTAGCAACAATAGTTTCACTTGACTCTGACCCTGAATGTACCCGAATAAATTAGGACAGTTAAATGATAAATACAATATAAAATTTCCTAAGAGTTAGTGATAGAATGCGCCAAATACGTCTCGAAACAGTTAAATTTATGATTTATGCCGCAAATGAGCATTTCTCTTAGGTATTCGCCATTCTTGTCAGCTTGACAGGTAATGGAACAAAATCTACACCGTTTTAAACTTTAGCCTTTATTATAAGAAAACGACATGCTTTGTATGGTCTTTGAGTAGTTGATAAGGTGGCCTGGAACTGAGTTTACAGCTGACTAACGAAATCTAATGAATACATAGAGGAGTGTGGCGTAGACTAGTCTTCCTAAGACTGCAGCGGTAATGAAAGTGAGTGTTCAGTAGTGAGCGGTTGAAAAAACTGCAACGGTGAGGCGAAACGTGTGCGTTCATTATTTAAAAAGGTATATTAGAGTCCCCAAAAATCATTTACTATATATATTTGAAACCGAATATGTTTCAACATTGGACTAAACCGATAGACAAATATTTTAAAGCATAAGTAGCTTAGTCGGTCCTCTTTATTAGTCAAAATTTCTTAATAGGTTTGTGCTTTAGGAATTGAATTATGATGTACTTCCGAGAGACTACTATTATTTATTATTTTATACGAACAACTTGAATTATTTTTCTTGGGTGGAATAAGCATAGAATCAGGGTCATCTATGACATAAGGGACGCAAAATCCTTGTCTTCTACTGAGGAGTGAAGAACCCACTTTCAGTTCTCCAACTCATGACTTCTCTTCACGCGAAAGTTTCGTTCCGATTATGTTCCGACATTTCAAAAATACCTAAAAAAGTGGTCACAATATCTTATCACTCTAACTCATGTGAGTTATTAAATGCACGAGTGCGATCAAATGAATTACAAACATTGTGATCTTGATAATACTTCACAACATTCTCTCCTTTTCCGATTTTAAGCTTGAAAACGAGGGTTATATTTGGAACAGTGGTGAGATTTATTTGCACTTTCTCAGAGAAAAAAATAAGCAATTTCCCTGACTGAAATTATTACATTTTTCACTTTTCGTGAAATAAGTGAAAAGAAATAAGCGATCGATATACATTTGTAATTTATTAATGAATAGTAATTTGAGAATCTCTAAGCTGATATTCGAGTTAGGAAGGAGGAAAAGACAGGTTCCCGCTGGTTAGGCAAAATACAATTATTCCTCGTTCTGATCTTGTTAATATTAAGAAAATGAAATACAATCATTACTTCAATATTATTGAAAAGGGGATGTGCAATAGACTTACCTCCACGTGGTGCAACCTGGGCAATGCTTACTCATACGGCAAAAAAAGTCTATTAACCGGCAGTTGACTTTTGACTTCAAATTGCCGTGATCCCACTGTATGTCATATACGACTACTTTCACAGTACCCACCTCACCTCTTTTTTACCTTTCTACCTTCGTCTTTGAAACGCTCTTCTATTCCCTCCCCCCCCCTCGACTTTCTTTCACTCTGATGTTTCTTCCCCTCTGCGAAGCCCGAAGTCAACTAAAGGGCTAATGATAACCTTCTAAACGCCTGCTATTTGATATAATCATAATATTTGTTAATATTAAGAAAATGAAACACAATCATTACTTCATTATTATTGAAAAGGAATCATGAAGTAGGTATTAGTTTCACCATGTGTAAACCTTGTATATTTATTCTTATTAACATTCTCATCTTTCTACCCTGGATCATGTATATTTGAACACCGATGCAAAAATTTGTGATACGATTAACAAATTTGTGCATATTCTCAAGCTATATTATCAGTTAGTTTCATTATAGTCAAAAGGCAGAAGTAACTTAAATGGTTTCATCCAACATCCACTTTGTCAAAATGTCCAATAATCTCCTGATATTAAGAAGATTAACACACTTTCAAAGTCCACAGATGGAATGGAATTTTGATAATTGTGACATCCTGGAGTAAAAATGGACGTCAAAATCCTTCTTAGTGTCCTGTGCTCTTTTGGTCTAAATTTTTGGCACACTAAAGTGGAACTCACATTCTATGTCCTCACTTCATAATTAAAATTATCTAATACTCTTAGTCGTTTCCATTACTGGATGTGTTCCGATGTGCATTGATCAGCTGAACTCTAACTTGACTGACGGGTACATTAACCACTATTCAGGCAGTGAAAATTGCAGTGTCGCCTAGCTGTTCTGTCCACATATATGCAATGCTCCTTAAGGACTTCAGAGAGATTATACACGATTTTATTACAATCTTTTCTACTGATAAATTCGATGCAAACAATGAAAAAATACTTCGATAAGTTAGATTTATCTATAGTTTCTTAATTGGACAAGGCTCTCAGATGTTATTGAGTAAAGAAAGGAATTAACTTCATTGATAGTATATAAATGTCAGAAAAATAAATCCTCTCCATTCGAAGATATACTGAAAAAATTAACAACCCGGGGCATATAACGGAAAGTCTATCATCTTGCAAGAAATAAACCCCACCATGGACATATTTGTAAACAAATTTTACAAAATGACCAGTATAATGAGAAGTTATCATACACTAAATTGCTGAGTCCATTGTAGACGAAATAGGTAGTTTTAAGTTTTTTATTAATGGAGATATGTTTTGATAGAAAGTCATATTTCTGCCTCAATGATTCATAACGTTCGTTTTGGTATTTCGATCGATGAATGCATTGCCTGTTCTCTTTGTCTCAGGCGATTACTCGACTGGTGTTGTCTACTAAATGAGCTTATCAAAAACACACATCCTACTCTTTGTAAAAATTTCTGTCTCCAACTATTAAGTGAGTTTTTTTGTAATTTAATTAGCTTCCGAAAGGGCCTCTATAAAAGGACAATTTTTAATGCAGAAAAACTTTGATTAAAAATTTATCACTATTAGGTATTTGTTAAGATGGGTTAAATTACAGGCCCATTGACCCGCACCAATTTTGGGCTAAAGCGTACCATCAAGTTGGTACTTATGATCATTTAAGTGATCAATTGCGGTATAGCAATAGTTTTGGTGAGTTATTTTATGCTGACCCTTGAGTTAACTGTTTAATTATCAGAGGATAGTTGGTATAAGCACACAGTTTCTTTTTTGGCAAACATAACTGATATTTATGGGGATCCCTCGGGAGCTCGAACATTCTGAGACCACTCAGCCAACCAGC